CCGCCTTCTTTGGTTGGCACCCCCTCTCCTCCACCCCTCTTCTGCCACAGACAAAGAGTTGTTTGGACACCTGTTGAGAGTGGTGCTGAGATTAGAGCGTGGGGGAAGGGGTTTGGGCCTGGGCGGCACGGAGGTTAACAAAGGCCAACAGTGACTTAGGAACGCATTCCTGAAGGAAAAGGGGGGAAAGATCTCTCCTCCTCCCCCATTTCTGCTCCTTTCGCCATGACTCCCAATCCCGTGGATCCTCAAAAAGGAAATTAGATTGCGGGTGAACATGTGCTCCCGCCTGCTGTGGCAGGGGTGGAAGGAAAAGAGTTGGAGGGGGGCTACAGCGGTTTCTTCTCCATTGGGACGCTAATCGCATGGCAAGACGTTGATCAAATCCAGATGCGTTTGGAAGCCACCAGTGACGAATGCTGGCCAAACTGTCATTTGATGTTCAGCATGAAAGGGCAGATTGTTGCCGTATCCACATGTGAATAAGCCATTTTGTTTTCATTTTTCTACATATAAATGCTGACAAATTATGTCTTGGTGTCTATTTCAAAAATTGCACAAAAAAACTGATCCTTCAAGTCAACTTTAAAAATCTAAATTCATTTACTTTGTTAAAACACATTTCTGGTCTTACTGTGCACAATGCAGCAGTGTATAGTTTTTCTAGAGAAAATAATAGTTTTCATAACTTGTATATAAAAAATAAATCAAACATTTGGGGTCAGTAAGATTTTTTAATACTTTATTAATTCCTTTAATCTGAAAAGACACATTGAATTGGTCAAAAGGGACAGTAAAGACTGAAGACCAGCTGCTAAAAATTCAGCTTTGCCATCACAGGAACAAATTGCATTTTAAAATATATTCAAAACAGTTTCTTTTAAATTGTAATAATATTTTACAGTATTATGGTTTTTACTGTAAAACTGTGGTTTTTAGCCTTGGTGAGCATAAGAGACTTCTTTCAAAAGCTTTTTTATTACAAATCTTACCAACTCCAAACTTTTGAATGCAGATAAAACTGTGTTTTAGGCTACTGTTGTAAGTATTGTAGCCTTCATAAATTTTTGTTAATTCTTCTTAATGTAGTAACATTTATGTAATAATGGTTTACAATGATAATAGCCAATAGCCAGTGATAGATTTGAAAACTTCTAGATCATGTCAGCTGTAAACTTCACATCCCATCAGAAACTCCACCTTCATTGTTTTATACGTTTTTATACAAAAGAAAGTTAATATGAATTAATTAGTTATAGATATAACATCCAATAAAAGCATACTGTATATACACAGTGTTTAAAAAAATTACAGTATACAATATACATATATGTGCTTCACGTTGACTTAAATGCTTTTAAATAACCTGATGTTTGCTGTTTTCCTTCTACCACTACCCCTGAAATCCAATATTGTCTGAAGCAGTGCAGCATCCAGTGTTGTGTTACAATCAACCTGCCTCTCAAAGTATAGACGCACACTTTCAAATTGAAAACAACATGAGAGTGTTTTTTGGTGGAACCGAGTCAGAACTCAGGACTGAAGTGCCGCGTGTCTCTCTGAGCACAAATTTGGGGCTGTGAAGGTCGTTCTTTGTAGTGTGAATACCACTCAGTTCTTCAGAGGGGAGGTCACACTCTACAGTAGGAACACAGAGACTCTCTCCGCTTTGAAGTCCAAGATCTGTCTCTTCCCCGGTTTAATGTAAATCACTTTTGTTTTCTCGGCACTGATCAGATGGCTTCATGATCAGAGGAACTCTTGATGTTTTGCTCTGTTCTCTGCCTCATGTATTTATGGCTATCTGTTCTGACAGGGCTCTGTTCACCGTGAAGAGACCGTCAGCCTGAACAATAACCACGGTGGCCTGCAGGCTAACGCCGGTCCTACCTCCAGCATGGAGATCAACCACCAGGCTGACATGTTCAGAGGTTGGAAGCTTTTTTTACACCACTTTATTTTAAGTTTTTGTATTGGACGTGTTTGCCTCTTCAGTTATGCTACATACGCAGTTTTATGACCTCACAACAAGTCACAAAGCGCTACATTTTAGAGGTTAAGTGTTTACTTTAAGTAACTATACTTTTGTTGTGTGTGACAGGAATCGCTAGTGTTCTGGCCAGTCAAGTTGCTTCTCCTCTGGACCTGAAGGTCGAGAATCAAGAAAAAGACGACATGCATGATAACCACTCCTCTGACGACCTCAAATCAGACGACGAGAGTGATAAAAGGGATATGAAGCAGAATCGGGGAAGCACTCGACCAAGGCAAGGCAACCGCTCATGGAAGTGTCCTTCAGCACTTCAACATTGACCTCAGAGACAGTGAATCTATACCAGTGTGATTAAATATTATCACAGAGCACCACTTCCATTTACTTAATGCCTGAAATTAAATGTCGCATCAAGCACATATACATTTAGGTGTCGAGGCCACATTGTTCCCTCCGTCTTGTCTGACAGTTGTGAATTGTTCTGCAGCAGTGTCAATGAAGACGAGGACCTGAACCCCGAGCAGAAGGCAGAGCGTGAGCGAGAGAGGAGGATGGCCAACAACGCCCGTGAGAGGCTGCGAGTCCGGGACATCAACGGGGCGTTCAAAGAGCTGGGCCGCATGTGTCAGGTGCACTTGAAGAGCGAGAAGCCCCAGACCAAACTGCTCATTCTTCACCAGGCCGTCGCTGTCATTCTCAACCTCGAACAGCAAGTCAGAGGTCAGACACTGTCCAGCATAATGCAATTACGTCATGTTTATATAAGATCTGTCAGTCAGATATAAAATATTAAATCGCAATTAATCTTTTTCAGTCAGAAACAATTTTTTTTGGGGGGGGGGGGAATTTCTTACTATTGACACTATTATGGATATATATTGTATTTACAAGTTTTGTTTCATGCAGTGCATTGTAAAAATCCACCTCATCCAGCGCTCTTTTTGTTTTCCGACTTGTAAAGTATCCTGTTTTTGTGTGAGAAACAATCAATTCAGTGTGTTAGTAAACTGTCTCAATGCCTGTCTCAGTGTAGCAGATTGAATCACAAAAACGTTTTTTTTTTTGCAAAACCATCTGACTGATTAGATCAATAGTTATTAATTCACAAATCTGGCATCGCTAGTTCTGATTCTAAACAGACACATCATGATAGCTGAAATACTATCAGGAAACGTGATTCTCGGGTCAGTAATGTTTCACTAGGGGCCCTGGCAACAGCCCTAATTTATATTAATCAGTTCAACAGATCTCAGAGAGCTGGTTTTATAAGGCAATGAAAGCTCTATAAAAGTGTTATGATTCCTTTTTTTTAGTATTGCTTTATAAACTATAGTGAGATAATATGAATTCTCCTGTGTGCAGAGAGGAACCTAAACCCCAAAGCAGCCTGCCTTAAGAGGAGGGAGGAGGAGAAGGTGTCAGGGGTTTCAGGTGACCCCCAGCAAGCCCACCCGCCTGTACACCCGGGCCATACAGACGCATCCAACCCCATGGGCCATCTGTGAACAGCCAGGTAAGCACGATCAGCTCCACACAGAGATGTAAAATGGGCAGGTGGTTAAAACACGACACCACAAGCAAGATTCTTTGCTTTGCTGAGGCACAAGCTCTACTCCAAAACCTAGTGAGCTGCATCCTCTCTTACCTTCCTTTAGGAACATTTACATTGGAAATGCACCCGATGCCTTAAACTAGGTTTTGGAATGCATTGACTGATCTAGACTTTATAATAAGAGATTATATTACTCCTGATGTGTACAGTTACAATATTGTTTAAATGTTTGGTGTCTAAGATTTTTGTAATGTTTTAGAAAGGAGTCTCTTATGCATTCAATAAAAAAAAAATACAGTAAAACAGTGATATTATGTAATATTATTACAATTTAAAATATTAAACTTTAAAAACTTATGTTTTAAATTACAGTTTATTCCTGTGATGACAAAGCTGAATTTTCAGCAGTCATTATTCCAGTCTTCAGTGTGACATGAGCCTTCAGAAATTATTCTAATATGCTGATTTGGTTCTCAAGAAACATTCTTTGATGAATGGAAAGTTTAAAAGCACAGCATCTGTTTGAAATATAAATGTTTTATAACATCATAAATATCTTTACTGTCAATTTAATACATCTTTGCTGAATGAAAGTATTAATTTCCTTTAAAAAATAAATAAAGATCTTACTAAGGCCAAACTTTTGAACGGTACTGTATATACACATGAGAAAGGGATTTGAGTGTCAGTACAGTGGGTCATAAGCAATGTCCTTATCTTTCCCTCACTTTCAGATCAAATGGATCCCGATGGCTTGTGTTAGACAGAGTCGGTGACCTTGCTTTCCACGGGCGGACAGGACTCACAGATTGTGACACAAATTTGAAAAGACAGACCACTCGAAGCAAAATTCCACCCTTAAGCAGTCCTGAGATAGAAGAAAACTGGCAAGTGCCCAGCTCCCTGTGAAGACATCCCATATCGATAAGCAACTTTCTGCCCACCAGAGAAAAAAAAATCAAGCATAAAAGCCCCTCAGCACATATCGCTGTCTGCAAGCCGTGTGCCGCAGCTGTACAATCAGAGACTGCCGCCACCCCCTCCACCCTGTACGTGGAAGTTGCCTTGTGCCTAAACTGAATTGACGAATGCATTGTAACAGCAATTTGTTCTTTTCTTTTCTTTTTTCCTATTTATTATGTTACTGAGCTATAAGTCTATGTTTAAAGGGAAAGTTCTGACATTGCTATGAGCAGCTGGTGGCGTTTCAGTAGATCTGCAGTTTGTCCGTCACATCAGAGTGGTGTGCTGTCTGTGGTGGAAGGGCCTCTCCGCTCAGACATCCACTCGATCAGATTAATATATTCACATCAAATTCCGTGCCCTTGTGAAAGAATCTGATGGCTCCCTGTGTCTAAAAAGAAAAGGAAAAATAAATAATATATTATTTATATTTATCATACATCCATTCCACAAATAACAGCATGAGAAACCAAAACTACCTAATTCTTTATGATGTCTGTTGATAGTGTAGCTCAGAGTCCTCGTCACAGACAGAAAGTTATGAGTGAGGCGAAATGGGATCAGCCTGTGCGTTCTGACCGGATTCCCTGCGTCGTGGAGATGATGGTGGAACGGCAAACTCTGGCTTTACTGAAAGGTCAAAGGAGCTGACACACAAGCTGACATGTTTATACTCATTAGTGAGCAGTACAGATACGGAAAGCAGAACGTTACAAAACCCCAGCATTCCCTGCATATTTCTTAGTGTCTTAAACGGGAAAGGGGACGCAGTCTCGTCCTTTTGATCCCTTTGCCATATAGTGTTAAGGGTAACGCGAAAGACGTATTTCCGATTCAGTTTGTTTGTATTCAGACGATACTTTATTTGGTCGAAGAGCCGTGGTTATGCCGAGGCCATCTGTACTGAGGAATCTCTGTTATACCGCGAGACATGGCACTGTTGGATTTAAAACGAAGACCATTTATTCACCTGGCCTGAATTGAAGTTTTGTTTTATGTTCTTTTGTTTTTCTAAAACCATTAACGATTTTTTAAAAATAGAGAAAAAAAAAAAACTCAAAGTAACCACATGTTATATGTTTATTTGTAATTGTATACAAAGCATCTCTCTAGGCTTCATAGTAAAGCATATATTTGTCGTGTGAAAATAGAAGGATGTTCTAAGTTACTTAGAATGACTTTGTCTTTCCCCTCATGCATTGAAGTACTTGATACTTGATCAGCAGAATGTGAGCGCAATGTCTGTTCGAAAAAAGAGAAGCTCTATGAATTCAAGCGCTGTGAAGCATCAAAATCAGCAAACAGTGGAAATGATGAACAAAGCCAGTTTGGATCAGGATTTTGCTCTGCCGTTATTTGTTTTCTTTGTAAATCTGAAGGGAGCAGCAGTCACCACTTTCATTTTATAATGTATGAGTTTTTCTTTAAGACCAAAAAGTTTTCTTTTTCTGCCCTGTCTGTTTGTCTTCCATGCGTTCACACCATTGAAACAAGACTGCCATATTCTCACCACTCTCTCGAATATGAAGAACAAAACTTAAGGAAATATTTCAGAAAATCAGCATTATTTTCCTCCTGTGTTTTTTCTCTTTCTTTGCTTTGTGGAGAGTTTCCTTCCTTAACAAAATTATTGTGAAATCCACTAGTCTTTGTGGCCTTGTTATACATTTCAGTATTCAAGAGCTTGTATTTTTGCCGGCTGAAAATTAATCGAGGTTATGAGTCATCTCTTTGTCTGTTGTTTTTGTTTTCCCTGTTTTTTCCCCTTCTTCTTCTTGTTTTTCCTCTGTTGGATATGTTAGATTTTGCTGTATGCCCTGATGCTTTCCCTCATAACAAAAAAAAAACAATGAAAAGGATAAAAAAAAAACATTTGGCTTATTTTTCACTGTAGTTAGTCTTTTATACAATAATATTGTAAGAACATTTCTTGAATTCTAAATATTACTCTTTCTAGATTTTTGAAATCAAAAGTTTTGAGTAAAAAGTTTCTTACTTTATTTTACTATGTTAGATAGTAAAAAAAATGTACGGTTATTTACCATAACCTGTCCATTATTATAAAAAAGATTATGGATAGCATCTTAAGAACATAAGTAGGATTGTAGCTGGCAGTCTAGTACGTATGGGGTATTGTACGAGCTCAATGTTCTAGAGGATGTGCTCTCCATCTCTGTCTCCAGTCTGCATTGTTGGTTGATGAACGATCTGTACCCATGTCAAAATTCAAGTTATTGTCAATGCACATCAGAAAACCAGCAGTAAGAAGTCGAATTCTTTTTTTTTCTGTCTCTGTAACAGAAAACACAATATGTATATAACATTTATGTAGCAATAAATGTGCCATCTTTTTTTAACTCTATTGTATGTGCCTTTATTTCCCTCTTTCAGCATTTGGTTTTCATCTACAACTTCATACAGCAAAACTGGATTAAAATACGTAACTTCATTTCACTCACATCTGAATTATTGAGTAAAAGCTTGGCATTACGACTGCTGGGCTTTTCAAAAGATTTTGGACATGTACAAATAAGCTTAAAAAAAATCTCATGTCATTCCAAACCTGTATGGCTTTCTTTCTTCCGTGGAACATAAAATATGTTTTGAAGAATATTAGTAACCAAACATTTCCCACTGAATTCCGTTGTATGGCCAAAAAATATAATGGAAGTTACAGGAAATTAAAACTGTTACCAATTCATCAAATTATCTTTTTTTGTGTTGAGGGTGAGTAAATGATGACAGAATTTTCATATTTGTGTGGACTTTCTATTTAAGCAACTGCACAAACACTGTTCATTTATCATATTTACAGTTAGTTTTCTTTATAAAGCATTATGGAACCCTTTTCTGTTTTCAGTACAGTGTAAAAAACGCACAATACGATATTTAGGTAAAAAAAAAGGTTTTATTATTTTGCCTTTATAAAATAGTCTGTATAGCTTTTATTGTTTGAAAAAATGTCTTTGCACTGAGAAAACATTTTCTTTTTAAAGTAATTCAGATTTCAATTGTAAGAGTTCTACATCTGTCTTTAACTTGACTGAAAGACAAACACACTTTGCGTCTCTAGTGAATGATCATGGGAAAATAGCATTGGAGTATGACACTGACTGCCGCTCTTTCATTGCGGGGTGTGTGCATATTCCCACGTATTCCCAGTGTTAATTGACTTCGCTTCCTAATTCAATTATTTGTTTTTCCCATTTCTGTGTCAGTTCTGAAATATGGGAGCATCTGTTTTGTCCCAGTAGCGGTGAATGGTTTACAGCCAGAGTCTTTCTGCGCAATGCAACTTCCAGCATATCTCACGAAACTCTAATAACAGTTCGCTCAGTTTATTTCTCATTTTTCATCTCATCCGTACATTTTTACTCAATGACATCAGTCCTGGCTGTCCAATTAAAAGACTAAACTAAATCCCAGAACTCATCTCCTTGGCTTACACATCTGCCCTAAATTATGTCTCTGTACATGTGTGTGAGAGACGCTTTCTCATTGGATTTGTCCTGCGCTGACAGGTTGGGCCCCAGATCTGCTGTGAGACTGGAACGGCACTGGGGAAGAGTTGCTAAATGCTGGAGAGACCTCGGCCAATTCCGACTCTGTCAGCCTTCCAACATGACACCTCATCTGGAGGCCACTCCAACTCTGCTGGCTGGGTGGGAAGGCTTTGTCCCGTTTCCTCCCTGTGTGTGTTTTTGTGCGACTGTGTGCATATTCCTTCCTGCCTTTATCAAAACCATGCCCTGGAGTGTTTACTTGCAGTCAGCTTGAAAAATGGGCAATGTTTTATAAGCATGGGACCACCGTGTTTGCGAGCTGACTTCCTGTGGATCTGGCTGCCTGGGACAGCCCAGCGAGGGAGTGTCATGGTGGGCTTGCTGACAGGAGCATCTTGGCTTCTGCTGCTGGACCGCAAACAAGGATGCCTCAGGCTGACATGCATTTGATAATGATGTTCCTGCTGACTCTTTTCCTTTCAGTGAAATCGCTATTAGGTTCATGATTGATGACCACAGTTAGGGCTCTGTGTACCAGACTTTTATATTTACCAGATTTTATATTTAAAATTCATGAACTGAATTCTTCTAAACAGGTACTAATGCGATATTATTACTAATACTTGCTTATATTACAGTATACCAGTGCTACGGTTCTGCTTATCAGCCAAACCATGACCCCTAGTCAAATTCTGTTCACTTGATGTCCCATGACCTTTTTTAAGAGATGTTTTTAATGTGAGAGCTGTTGAGAAACTATTCTTAACAAAAAATTAATCTTGGATGAAAAGTAACATCTTTAAATGTTGATATCCACTCCTTAAAATTTATATTTTGGTCTGGCCAGCCAGTGTCAGAGGTCTTGAGTCCAACAATTCAGAATCATACATTTTTGCTTCATCTGTTGAACCGATTCAGTTGACTGTAATAAAAATATTTTTAATTATAAACTAATTTAAATCTCAAAAATCTATGTTTGTCTAGGTCTAGGCAAGCAACTTAATTATCTGTCACTGTTACCAACAGTATTTCGGTTGTTATTACAGTTATTAGTAATATGCACAGTGCATATAACATTCAGTCTGAGTCTGAGTCTGAAGGCTACGCTCTCGTTTAACTGACACTGGCTGATAGAAGAACAAAAAAAGCTTTCTCTTGTAAGATTTTCAAGCACAATTTGAAATCCAAAATGTGGAAAGTTGCATTAAAACAGCTGAAACTAAATATTTGTGCACGTCTTATTAATGTAGATTAGTCTACATCAGGGACCGTTCACACAGGGCCCATTCTTGCATTTAAATAGCTACAGCAAAACACAAATAATGCAGCCTCTCTCTAACGCTGGCTCTCATCCGGATCCCCAAACGGTGACAGAGAGCGCTCCCTGCTGAACATGCTGCAGGGATTTTAAATAGAGATCCTTTTGTGTTTCCCTGCAGCTCCACAGTCCTCCTCACAGCTACAAGGCCCCGACTGCACCCACACAGAGAAATGAAAACACTGCAGACCCACGACAAAGGGTGGAGTCATCAGTACTTGCACTATATACACACAAGTTGTTTTTGCTCTTAGTTCTTGGGTTGGTCTGAAAGCACAAATGCAAAGTTTACAGGATAATTAAGTTCTGTTACTAATTAACTTAGAAATGACATGAGGATGAGTAGGCTAGGCGATGACAGAATTTTTTTATTTTGGGATGAACTCTCCCGACACCAAAATGATGCACAATAAAACAAAAACAAATATGGTTGATAAATGATTGCTTATGAAAGTATTTAACCCTGTAGTGCTCCTCCAGTCGGTGACCCATTTTATCATCATATTATATTAAGGAGGTTGAAGCAGAGGTTTTCTTCTTCACTGAGATAAATCTGGAGGTATAATAGAAACACTTGGAAAAATATTGTTTCTTATTTTCCTAAACCGTCATGTCTGTCACAGCCAGATCTGATGAGATCTGTTAGCACGCACCCTCAGATCGCAGCGAGTGCATCTTCCCCAGTACTATGGAGGACGAAACCTGCAAAAACAATAAATAAATAAATACACAAATAAATAAATAAATAAATGTGTGTATAAATACACAAAGTCTTGCTTAAATACATATAGAAATAATTAAACGTGATTAAAGTAG